ATTGTGATCTGAACAAGGGAGGGTTTACTTGATTATTCGGCCTTGATAGGAAGCGTCAGGGAAATAATAAGGTCTCAATCAATCGTGAGAATGACTCTAATTCATAGACCCACATCAGCTTTACAAATAAAGAGATCTGTATAGAATCCAGTGATTTTCCGAGATGTCTGCCTGCCCGGGGGGTTGGGGGGTGGGGGTCTCTGGTTTTATGCCATAATACTGCCTCAAAACAAGTGCCTTATGTCTGTCTCTCTCACCCATTTTCTCTGTCCAACTTCACCCTATTTTCCTTTTTCACGCAACTTTGCTATTTATTCATTTCAGCTATATACCTCTCTCTCTCCATGTGTACCACATTTGTTTTTCAGATGTCTCGTTTTGTTTATATGTTTGTGCATGTGTTAAGTTGTTATTTTCATATGAAAAAGGAGATTTACACTGTATCAAATATATATTTTCTTTTCTTTTATAGCTTCAAACAATCTTCGTTCTGTATTAATCAAATATATCAGTTGTTATGATTGATCTGAAGCAATCTTGGCCAGCAGTGGTCACATATTTATTATGTGGACGGGATGAGATTAATTATCCAACATATGTGTATTAATCTGTGGATTTACTGTAATTTTTTCTCATGATGGGTTGCCTTGTGTATTTGGTTTGTCTGGGATTTTTATTGTTGTAAGGCAACTATTTTGCAGGCAACTTGGCTAGTGTTTACTATGAGCAGAGTAACCTTGATATGGCAATACTCAACTACAAAAGAGCTATTGCCTGTGATGCTGGATTCCTGGAGGCATACAATAACTTGGTTTGGGTTACATTTCCGCATAAAGATCCATTGGTTGATTGTTTGTTCTGTTTTTTTTTAAGTATTTTGTATATTTTGACTGCCAGGGTAATGCATTGAAAGATGCTGGAAGAGTAGAAGAAGCAATTAACTGTTACCGAGTTAGTAATTTTTCAACTTACATAAGCGCATGTTGTGTAATTGGCATTTGTCATTTATTGACATCTCTCTCTCTCTCTCTCTCTCTCTCTCTCTCTCTCTCTTTCTCTCTCTCCCCTCTCTTCTTCTCCTTTTTCATTCTCTTTGTTTCTTTTTTGAAGCAATGCCTGTCTCTGCAACCAAATCATCCTCAAGCACTTACCAATCTTGGAAATATATATATGGAGTGGTATGCTTGATATCAATGTTTATGTATCTATTTCTTTGCTTCTTTCATCCCTCGTTTACTACCACTACCACTATTACTACTAGAATTGTTATATTTTTCTTTTTTGTTCACTCCTGGTGATCATGAATCTCATTTGATTTTTTCAAGGAACATGATGAGTGCTGCAGCTCAATGCTACAAAGCAACACTAACTGTTACAACAGGGCTTTCTGCACCTTTTAACAATTTAGCAATAATATACAAACAGCAGGTATGCTAGTATCTTCGTTCTTCAGAATTGCTGGCAGAATTGTTGAAAGAGCTGAAAACTAATGTTTCATGTCAAGGAGCTGCTTCCTGACTTTAGTAAATGACAATAAGTAATTTTGTTTGTTCGGTTCCAGGGTAGTTATGCGGATGCAATTTCTTGCTACAACGAGGTTCTCAGAATTGATCCAATGGCAGTTGATGGTCTTGTCAATCGTGGAAATACTTACAAAGAAATTGGACGAGTTACTGAAGCAATTCAAGACTATATGCGTGCTATTGCCATCCGACCAACCATGGCAGAGGCCCATGCTAATTTGGCTTCCGCTTACAAGGACAGGTAATTATATGTCTACTCGTCGATAATGAGATCTTTCTTTGTATTATGCAAATTTCATTAGTGAGTCAAATTTTCTCTCAATCAAACAAAAGTATTTGTTTTTGGGAGATTGTGCAACTATCTGGTTGTTTCCTGATTAATATTCCGCATATTACATACCTCCATGTGGGATACCTGCAGTGGTCATGTTGAAAATGCAATCAAAAGCTATAAGCAAGCTTTGGTGTTGCGTCCAGATTTTCCAGAAGCCACTTGTAATCTTCTTCACACTTTGCAGGTATACTTACAAATTGTTTTTTCAGTTTTCAACCTTTTCTGGACCAAGTTACCTGGTATCATACAAATTGTTACTTTTCTATATGTCTTTTACCATATTCGAATAAGTTATTTATGTAAGGCTAGAATAAAGTGATGGGCGAGGCTTTTGCTCAGGGACCTAATTTGTTTTCTTGTTAATAGTCCTGAGCAGTCAAGAATAGTGTTTTTCATGTAAGTGGATACAATTTGTTGTGTTATTATCTTACGGCAAAAAGTTGTAAGATGTCCGGTATTCACCGTTCTAGGCGGAGCAGTTGACTTGGTAGTGCATTCGTCATTCATGGTGATATTACCATTACAGAATACTATTTTATTGAAATAGTACAAATCAGGAGGTAAATTTTGGAGGAAGCTACTCGATTTCTATATGATGAGCAGGACATTTTGCCTGTCTTGCATCATTGTGTGATGGCTTCTGTGTTCCCTGCCTTGAATCGTTACGTTGGCTTATGTTTCTTTACAGTTGACTAGCTAGTATGTTGTTATATTCTGTTTAAAATTTGAATAACTGGTGGAATTTCCACGGTGTTGATCTTATAAACCTTGTGATACGTTACATTATCATGGTAACCGAAAAAATAAATAGAATTGTTTGATGTGTTCCATTTGTTTTCATGGTATTTAACTACATTGATTTCTGGAATATAATTACATTGGCCTATATCATCTACATCAGTGCGTTTGTGACTGGGATGATCGAGAGAAGATGTTTATTGAAGTAGAAGTGATACTCCGGAGACAGATTAAGGTTTGCTGTAAAAATCTTCTTAGTCAAACTCATTCTGACCCCACCCAAAACATTCTTCTTGATCAGTTCTAGCCAGTTAGCCATAAGTAGTTTTTGTCTATCCTTACCTGATACAAGTTGCACTTATGTCAACGTTCTATTTGTTGTAGATGTCAGTGATTCCAAGCGTGCAACCTTTCCATGCAATAGCTTATCCTCTTGACCCCATGCTCGCATTAGAGATCAGGCAAGAAATTTTGCTTTTTTTTTTTTGTTTTTTTCCGCAGGGGTTATTTAATCTTGACATTTCTAATTAGTTTCTTTGGTTTATGCAGTTGGAAATATGCTGCACATTGTTCAGTTGTAGCATCCCGTTTTTCTCTTCCTCCTTTTAGCCATCCTTCTCCATTACCTGTAAGGGGTGGAGGCAGGAATGGCCGTTTAAGAGTTGGGTTAGTTCATTGACGTATTTTGACTATAGTTCCTCAGAACAATTTTCTCTTACAGGGGGCAAGAAGTACAATGTTCTTTTATGTTTTATCTCTTTCAGATACGTGAGCAGTGACTTTGGTAATCATCCTTTATCTCACCTCATGGGTTCGGTATTTGGGATGCATGACCGAGAAAATGTGGAGGTTAGTCTGTAGTATATATTGCTTTTGGTTAACTTTCGATTTTCATTTTTGTCGCTGTTACATATTTGTTGTTGCCTTAGTAGGTTTTCTGCTATGCATTAAGCCCAAATGATGGTTCTGAGTGGAGGCTGCGAATCCAATCAGAAGCAGAACATTTTATTGATGTGTCTTCTATGGCATCTGATATGATTGCAAGGATGATTAATGAGGATCAGATACAGATTCTTATCAACCTTAATGGGTATACTAAGGTATCAAATTGTTACATTTGTTGATTATTGTGGTTTGTTTGTCATTTTGTTTACTTGGTTTCTGCACTTGTGCTACCTGTGGATTTGCTTACACGTACATTATAATTTGCTCTCCATTATTCTGAATTATTGCAGGGTGCAAGAAATGAAATATTTGCCATGCAGCCTGCTCCCATTCAGGTTTCCTATATGGGATTTCCTGGTACAACAGGAGCAAGCTACATCCACTATTTGGTTTCTGATGAGGTATTGTTGCTTGTTTTCCCCGAGAATAGCTAACCCCAAAATGTGGTTGATTTTGAAAACATTCAAAAATTATTCAGAAGTAGAGTTTTTTTTTTTTTTTTTTTTTTTTCTTCCAAACCAATTACATATCATTTTGTTGCACCATTTATTAAACTCATTTTTCCACATTCCTTTATCCAAAATCAATAAAAAATTACAGTATTCGAATTTTTATTTTTTCCCAACCAATTATGTCCTTCCGATGCACAGGTTATTAAAGCACATTTTTCCACATTCCTTTATTAACTTAGATATATCTATATCTAATCAATTATCACCATTTTATTTTCGTTTCATACCAATCAAACTCTACTGTTCACTACCCTTTTTATCACCCAAGTCAGATAAAAGGAATAAAAGTAATCCAAAGTGAACGGAGCACAAGTTTGAACCTTAGGCAGCTTCTGTGTCAGTGTAACAATTACTACTGTTTCTCTTGCAGTTTGTATCTCCTATCTGTTACTCTCACATATATTCTGAGAAGATTGTTCATCTGCCTCATTGCTATTTTGTAAATGATTATAAACAGGTAAACACTAGGAATTGATTTTCCTTTGTATTATTATTATAATAATAATTTATTTTTTTACTGGATTATTGGCTCGTTCTAACTGCAATCCTATGTTGAATGTCTTCGAAGAAAAATCTTGATGTACTGGATTCGAGCTGCAAACCGAAGCGATCAGACTATGGGCTGCCTGAGGACAAATTTATATTTGCTTGTTTCAATCAACTTTACAAGATGGACCCTGAGATTTTTACAACCTGGTAAACATGGAGAATGACAACTCTACCCAACTGATATTTTGTCAATCTTTTCATGCTTAAAGAATTGCTTTTTCTTTGTGCAGGTGCAATATTCTTAAGCGTGTCCCAAATAGTGCGCTTTGGCTTCTTAAATTTCCAGCCGCAGGCGAGATGAGGCTTCGCGCTCGTATGTTAATCCATTTCTGCTTATCATTACATGTGCTACTATTGAAAAATTGGGCGTATTTGTTGTATACATTAGTTGACTGTTATAATCTTCCAGGTGCTGCTGCCCAAGGTGTGCAGTCGGACCAAATAATTTTCACAGATGTTGCTATGAAACAGGAGCATATCAGACGCAGTGCATTAGCAGACCTTTTTCTTGATACGTATGTGTTTGCTGGAGCTTCTTTATGCAAACATTGATTAAACCATTTTCTGTGATGTACAATCGTTAAACATTCATTCGTTTTTTTTTTTTTTCCCTGCTGAATAGGCCTCTTTGCAATGCACATACTACTGGCACGGATGTTCTCTGGGCTGGTCTACCTATGATTACTCTTCCCCTTGAGAAAATGGCTACCAGAGTTGCAGGTTCACTGTGTTTGGCAACAGGACTTGGGGAACAGATGATTGTGAGCAGGTAAAAGTGTTCAAACTTTCCAATAGCGTGTATTATATTTTTTCCTATGTAAGCATTTGTTTAAGCATTTGTTCTGTGTGCAACTATGCTCCAGGTGT